TTTCAACAGACTTCCCAAGCCCATGTTCACCAGACTCTTCAACCATATTTTTACTAGATTTTTCACCCTCGACATTACTCACACCCACCTCACTCTATTTCTCAACAGACTTTTAACCATCAGCCCTTCTCAACTCTTTTCTAACCACAGGGGACTCCTTTTTGGACTTTAGAACAGTAAGGTTCTGTGAGGACTTACGAACCAAAGAACCAGGTTCCTCTTCTACCTCATCATCAACATTCACGACTAGTGCGGGAGGCACTACGTTTTCATTGACAACCTTTCCATCATTCACCATTCTTCTTTTCCTTTTTATTTTGCCTTAAAACAATTCTTCCTTCTTTTGCAACCTCGTGATGGGTCTCTTAGACGTTGACCCCTGGGGAGGTACTTTTCGAGTCCTAGCACTGATAAAGCTTGCCAGAGCCTCATTATCACAATCTTCTTCATCACTATCCTCCTTCTCCTCTTCGGACAAGGATCGCATCTCAGGAACAACTATGGACAAAGGCTCAGCATAGAAGTGAGGAGAGGGAGCAGGATCAGTGTTGACCTAGGGTGATTGAGAGGAACCAAGGGTTGGCTCCTCTTGGGTGGAGGGATTAGGTCCCTCGGTAGGTGCCCCAGTGGTACTATCTGGTGCTGATGTTTCAACAGGCACCAGTTCCCTACTCTCCACTAGTGTACTATTTTCTTCCCCCTGAGACTCAGACATACCTTCACCACCCCCAATGATACTTCCCTCAGCAGCTATAGTGATAGGTTACAAGTACCTTGGGAATAAGTACTTTATTTTATGTTTTGATGACCTAACAAACTTACCATCCAGAACCAGATACGGAACCTGTTACACATCTACAAGACCATGAGATCACAAAGTTCCAGGTTGGGATCCAACATGGGATATAACTCAACTCTTCAGAGAGGAAGGAACACTTGAGGAAACACGTCCCTACCAGTTCCCGAGGAGAATGTATGAAGTCAACTCTCCAGCAGGAAAGTTACTTTCTACACACGCTACTGCACAGGAACAATGCAGCAGTCAACTTTCTATAGAAGGCTTTTTACCTACCTTGCTTACATCATTTTAAGTGATGTCATACACGTATAAATACCATCAAGGAAGGTAAAACAACTTACTTCATGAGAGAACCAGATAAAGGACCTGAAGCATGCCTGGTACAATCATTCAAGTTAATCGACTCAAGATAAACTGGGCAGTGTACTTTAGATTCACAGGAACCAGATTAGGGACCTGATACCTTGGTGTTCCCCTGACAGAAGTATAAGTCAACTGCACAACTGGAAAGCAACTGCAGAAAGTGACTGCCTGCAACAGTGCAGCAGACAGTGCAACAGTCACTTTCCATTGAGATTGGACATCACCATTGTGAATTGACATCACTAAGGTAATGTCTTGTATAGTATAAACCTCATGCAAGGCACAAGATTTTGGTTCAACACTTGCAAATACAGAAAACAAAAATCCTCTCTCAAATGCTTACAACAATCTATCTCAAGAACAAAGCTGCTTCAACCTCAAGGACCGGATCCAAGATTAAAGATGTCTTAAGTCCTTAGGTTTGTTGAGTCTTTGTTATTTGTTCTTCAATTATAACTCCTATCTTGCTTTCTTAGAAGTTGTTTTAGGAAACCCAAAATCACAAACCCTCCAAGTTTGTTTCTTGGCTAGAGTTAGTCGAGTTGTAAAGCCTTTGTAATAGAGTTATTACAAAGTGGCTTGTAATAGGGTTATTATAAGTTAGGGTGTCAAAAGCCTTTGTAACTGTAGAGTGACAAAGTCGCTTGTGGTGAGAGCATCACAAATTAGTAAAATCCTTTGTAACTAGGGAGTCACAAAGTGGCTTGTGGTAAGAGTACCACAAGTTAGTTGAAGTCTTTGTAATAGGGTTATTGCAAAGTGGCTTGTAATAGGTTTTTACAAGTTAGTGAAATTGAAAGCCTACAAGTGTAGGTCGTGGTTTTTGTCCCCTTGAGTTGGGATTTTTCCACGTAAAAATCCTCTGTGTTCTTTACTTGCTGCAGAGCTACTGTGGTAACAATTAGAGAACCTGATTCCATGTACTAATTGGTTGCACAGTCTGTTGCTTACAGTAGGAACTGCTAGAGAATCTTGTTCTCTATACAGTGAGAACTTATCCTGTGTCTCACCTACATACTGGTTCCACAGTTAGCACTGTACCAAACTGATATAGGACCAGATCGCTATGCAATTTGGTTCCTCAGTATTTTCAGTGGAAACTCATAGAGAACCCGGTTCTCTATACAGTCTGGTGGACGCTCAATTTCTAACAATTGGTATCAGAGCGGGTTCTTTCTAAAAGGTTAACTCCTAGAAAGGATCTACATGGCTGCTCCACCAAATCACGAGGAAGTACAATCAACGTATAGACCACCAAATTTCAATGGTCAATACTATGGTTGGTGGAAAACAAGAATGCATGATTTCATTATGGCTGAGGACTCAGAGCTGTGGGATGTAATATGTGATGGACCTTTTGTTCCCATGAAAACTGTTGGTGAGAGAACAGTTACAGTCCCAAAAACAAGAAAAGAGTACAACGATGCTGATAGAAATTCTATTGAGAAGAATTTTAAGGCAAAGAAGATTCTTGTTTGTGGCATCGGACCAGATGAGTACAACCGCATTTCAGCTTGCAGCCTGCTAAGGAGATTTGGGAAGCTCTTCAAACTGCCCATGAGGGAACTACTCAGGTGAAGCAGTCCAAAATTGATATGCTTACTTCTGAGTATAAGCTTTTTAAGATGGAGGAGGATGAGTCTATTCAAGATATGCACACACGTTTCACCTCCATTATCAATGAGCTTCACTCCCTTGGTGAAGTCATCCCAAGAAACAAGATGGTCCGGAAAATACTCAGTGTTTTACCAGGTTCTTGGGAAAGTAAAGTAAATGCAATCACTGAAGCCAAGGATTTGCAGAAGCTGACCATTGATGAACTCATTGGAAATCTCAAAACTTATGAGATGAGGAGAAAGAAGGATCTTGAAAGAAGAGAGCCCAAGAAGGAGAAGAACCTGGTTCTCAAGGCCGCCAACGAAAACTCAAGTAGTGATGAATCCGACATGGAGTATCTCACTCGAAGATTCCAAAAGATGATTCGAAAAAATGGTGGGATTCCAAAGAAAAGAAGTTCCAGCAGGAATTTCGAAGAAAATGATTGCTGCCATAGGTGTGGAAAGTCTGGACACTTCATTAAAGACTGTCCTCTTCATAAGCAGGATCATTACAAAATCAGCACTGAAAAGGCCACTAAAAGGAACCAGGTCCCTGACAGAAAGTTCAAAAGAAGAGATGCTGCTAACAACATGTTGAAGCAAGCCCTGGTTGATTGGAGAAATTCCTCTAGTGAATCTGAAGGTGAAAATATGATGGTTGCTGACAACGGATCTTCAGAATATGAGTCAATCTTTACACTCATGGCCAAATCTGATGATGATGAGGACAAGGAGGAAGATGAGTTAAGTTTTCTTGATGTTCAAAGAAATTTGAAAACTTACTCTAAGAAAAACTTGATGTCCTTAGCAAATGTGTTGATTGATGCCTATCACAGCCTCATTAATGAGAAGAATTCTTTAATAGAAGAAATTGGTGGCGTTGAACAAGAGAGGGATTATATGGGATTTTCCATTGTAGACTTAGAGGAAACCATTGAGAGTATGAAGAAAGAAAAAGAGGTTTTAACTGAGAGTAATGCTAACATTGAGCACGAGAGAGATGACCTATTGGTGGTAGTTGTAAACTTAAAGGAAACAATTGGGGAACTTAAAATGAAAAGAAGGCCTGAGAATTCTCAAAAGGGAAAGGAAGTTGCAAGTGAGGCATACATTAAGCTTGAAAGTGAGTTAAATTTAGTGAAGTCTAGTCTGTGTGCTGAGCTTGAGAGAAACAAACAACTTCAGGAAGAACTAGGAAGAGTGAAAAGTGATCTTGAAAAATCACTTAAGTGGACCTGGTCCTCTGATTCTATCACTTCCTTGTACACAAACAATAGGGGAACCAGGCAGGGAATCGGGTTCCAAAGGGAAAAGACTCCCTACAACCCTTATAGCAAGTACGTTACTATACCTGACAAGTGGATTTGCACTCACTGTGGCAACACTAGGCACTTTAAAAAAAATTGTAAGGTCAGAATTCAGTCGTTGCAGAAAAATAAGGTTTTAGCTGAAAAAGTAACTACTGCTACGGAACCTGGTCCTTCACATAGAAAACGTATAATGCCTGCTTGGACCAAAAGAGCCCTCATTCACCCCTTTTCTCATTGCAAGGACTCCTGTAAAGTTAAAATTGAGTCGTTGCAGAACAATAAAGTTTTTGTTGAAAAGAGGCATATTGATGAGGAACCTGGTTTCCAGAAAAGAAAATATGTGCTGCCTGCATGGGAAAAAAGAAGTCTAATCCACCCATTCTATCATTACAAGGGACCCAAACTCGTTTGGGTTCCTAAGTCTAACTCCTGATTTTCTTGTGCAGGGAACAGTAAAAGGGAGCAGCCTACAATGGTACATGGATAGCGGCTACTCAAAGCATATGACTGGAAGTACAAATGATCTCCTTTCACATAAGGCCCTGCAAGGAGAGTGTGTACCCTTTGGAAATAGCTAAAAGGGGTACACTCTAGGAGTAGGAAGGATTGAGAAGTCACTCACTCACTCAACTGAAAACGTGTACTATGTCAATGGCCTGAAGTAAAGTCTCTTGAGTGTTTCTCAGATATGTGACAAGGGAAATAAAGTGGAATTCTTGTCCAAGATATGCACAGTCACAAATCTTGTGACTAGTGAGGTGGTGCTTGTGACCAAAAGATACAAGAATGTCTACACTGCTGATTTTAAGTCCCACCATGGTGGTGATCTAACATGTCTAAGTGTCATTAATGATGATGCTGAATTATGGTGAAGATAACTGGGCATGTGAGTTTCTACTTGTTGAACAAGTTGGTTATGGAAGACCTGGTTCATGGGCTGAAGCAGTCAACACTGCTTGCTACTTGATTAACAAATGCATAATCAGGTCCCTCTTCAAGAAGTCTCTCTATGAACTGCTCAATGGGAGAAAAGCCAAGTTGACCTACCCGAGAGCCTTTGGATGCAAATGTTTTGTTCTCAACAATGATGGAAAAAGGGTCACAAAACCAAGCAGATGAAGATGGAGAATTCACAAATGCTCCTGGTAAAGCAATAGATATTGAAAATGGAAAGACTGATTTTTGCCTTTTGGGAATTGAGATCGGTGTTGTTTGCCAACAACACATTGTTCACAAATTTGAGAAGGAGCAATAATTTGAGGAAGACCTGTGACCATGCTCTTCTCCTGAAGTGTCTTCAATCCTCCAAAACTCAAATGACCATAACGAAAATGCCACAACCACGAGGGATCCTTCACTTCCGTCATCAAACAAGATTGAATACTATCAATCTTTATTGGAAATAATCTGTTGGAACTCATCTGAACTATTGCTATAGCTCCTCTCACGGGGTCATAAATTTCACACTCGCCCTTCTTAATAGTGATGACATAACCTTTCTCTTGCAACTGACCAACACTCAGTAAGTTGCTTTTCAAATCAGGAACATATAACACATTAGAGATTGTTTCCGCAAAACCATTCTTGGTTTTGATCTTGATGTCACCTTTTCCCGTTGCATCCACAGTAGAACAATCACCAAAACTAACTTTAAAACGGAAGCCTTCATTTAAGTAAGAAAAGCAAGAATTACTTCCAGTCATGTGATTAGTGCGGCTGTGTCTAAATACCAAACATCTCGCTCGGTTTCCTTCTCTACTTGAATTGCCATCAACAAGGTCTCACCTTCCTTGTTCTCCGCGTAATTGGACTTCTCTTCCTTTTCTTTGTCATTAGGCAGCCTAGTATAACATTCAGATGCGTAATGACTAAATTTATGACATCTATAGCACTCTATCTTGGATTTGTCATAATCTCGACCTCTGCCTTTGCCTTGAGATTGATCATTATTTGCTTTGAAATTCCTACAGGAATCTCTACCTCCATGATCTCCTCTTCTTCTGCCTCGACCTCTACCTCTACCCCTTCCTCTGGAATTGGAAGAAGAAATAAAAGTAGAAGCCTTCAAAGCCTGCTCATCGGAAGTTGAACTACGGTTCATCTTCTGCTCATGCACCAATAAGGAGCTCTGTAATTCGTCAAGTGATAAGACATCTATGTCTTTTGACTCCTCAATGGAGCAAACGACATAATCATACTTTGGTGTCAGAGAGCGCAATATCTTTTCCGCTATTACGACGTCGCCCATGTTCTCACTATGGAATCGCATCTTGTTGCATATCTCCATGGTTCTAGCACAGTAGTTGGTGATGGATTCTCCTTCCTTCATCTGCAAGGTTTC